TATATTAGAAAGTTTCTCTTCCATCTATATAGTCATAGAGCACTAAATCTATCCAAAAAAAGCTGAGCAAGCTGACTTAAAAGATGGCAAATGTGCGAGTTTAGACTTGTATCCACTCATACACCTCAGCTGGCCAGTTTACTGAGGATGCTGTGCACAACCCTTTCACTGCCATCTCATAGAACGACTTTGGAACCATGCAAGACCTTTCTCAGTGATTTTCTGTCCAAGAGTGTAAGAGTGAGTCACACAGCAGGACAGCAGCACAGGGCACTGCTGGGCCAGTGCTATACAACTGTAAAACAAAATGGGTTCTGCTCTAAAGTGTTCACCCTGTGAGGAAAATTGTTCTGCTCTGTCCTTATATGTCTAACTTCACTGCAATGTCTGCTAGAGCCTTCTTAAAAACATTTTTTCCAAACAAAAAGCCCCCCCATAACTTAAAGCAAAGAAGCCTCTCATTAAAGTGCCTCTTAACCATGAATCATCTACCCCATACTGTATGAATGTATAATGCTCCAATTTATGAGTACCCTCTTTTTATTGTTAGCAACCACTTATTTTGATCTTTAATGGGCAAAAAGCACATTAATATCTATCTCAGGAATGTAGATAATGGCACTCTGACAGTCTAAAAGAAGAAAAATATAAAATAAAACCATTAATAAAATTATTCCACGTCAGAAAAATAGTGCAAGAGCACACTTCATCATAAAAATAATACATTAAGCAAAAAATCATGCCAATCAACCAATAGAGTACTATTTGGGGAAGTGTAAAAAGGAATAGAAGAAGAAGTGTACTGATGTTCATGATTTGGAAGGGAAAATAGTTGAAATGTAAAATGGAGGGAACATGACATTCTATCAGCTATTGTTGTGATTGTGACATTCAGGATAATGCTGCCCAGATTCTGACTTCTAACTAACCCTAACCTTGCAATAATGGAATCCACTGCAAGCCCTAGATTAACTACCAGAAACCAACCCAAATGCTGCATAAACATGCCTGAAGATAAAGGTCATTTTAGGAGCAGGGTTTAGCTTTTCTTTTGGCAAAGGCCGTACCAGTCAGAGACTATTCTGATGCTGGTGTTTGTACCCAGGCTGCTCCAAAGTACAGAAGCAGGGACAGCACTCTCCCTTCTCCTGCACTCCAATGGCTAAGCTGCACTGGGTGGGCAGTTGAGTGTCAGTCAGGCTCTGCAAGCACAGAGGACACCTGTGAACAGCATTGTTTCCAACTGGTAAAGGGCCTCAATATCAACTGGGACAAATATGCCAAGGAAAGTTATTTCAGTGAGGGACTACACATAGTTTTTACATTGTTTGCCTGTCCTGTGAACATGGTGCACACAAGTATATTTCTCAGTTTGACTTTCCTGGCCAAATATGCTGCTGTTTAATCGCATGTTCCTGAAACTGAATTTTATGTATTTATCTACACCACATATTTGGCATCAGAAGATGAGCAAACTTTTGTCTCTTTTTGCCTTTTCTCTCTTCTGGGAATGACAGAGAGAAATAATTCAATTTCCAAAACACAATGACATAGCATTCTGGGGGTTCATGTATTACTTCCACTGACCGGTTTGTGGGACAGTATTCCATACTAAGATAGGCTAGTAGTGTGGCTAAGAAGCAGATGGACATGCTTTACTCCAGATAAGGAATTTTCCAGTTAAGAACATGCAAATTATTGTGAAATACCTCTGGTGAATCTAAAAGAAACCCACCACAGTCACCACCAAACATCACAACAGCACAAAAGCAGTTGGTAAAATGGTTAAGAACAGATCTAGTCCATCCTCTTCCATAGTGTATTTTGTTGCTGAAAACAAGGAGGAGCAAGGTCATACCAAAGAAATAAAAAATGTCTTTGCAAGATCTAAACCCACTAAAGTGAGCTCGGTCTGTTTGCTCTGAATTCCTCTTCTTCCCCACAGACTCAGCCTTCTTCCAGGTGAGGATGACTCTAGGGCACTACCTCCAGGGCACACTAAATGCTGCTCCAAGCTTTGACAAAGGCACTGCTGCTGAAGTACACCTGTGGGTGTGATGGTGGTGCATTTTCAGCATTTGGGGCAAAGGATGGAAACTGGGACTTTGCCTTTGGCCTGCTCTGTACTGCATCCAGTGTTCTTGGTGCTCTCTATGTTTAAAGCTGCTCCCAACACTATCTATGAGACTAATACAGTTTCCCTATTGAACAGTATTTCCTGATACTGAATGAATTTGCTATTTCCCAGTTCTAGTCTGTTATTCCAGTTATTCCTTCTCCTCTCTTGGTTCCCTCAAGTAAGTATGTGTTCCTAATTAAGGAAACAGAGAAAACTGAATCTCTATGAAATCTGGAACTTAAAAGTATCATGCATACCTAGTTAGTTACTTAACACTTGGCATGAAAGAATCTTACAGTGAGAGAGCAGCAACACATTCTGCTCCAAGAGCCAAAGCTAGCAGGTACTGTCAGGAAAAAAACAAAACTGACCATCATGCAATGCACCCTCTCAGTGTACCAGAGGGTATGTAATAAGGTTTAAAAAAATAGTTCTAATCCTCATTCCTTGCCTTTCCATTAAAGGACAAAACTTAGAGCCCTGTGTAATACTTCTTTCCAAGATCCTCTGCAAATATGTACAGAAGAAAGCCTAATTTGAGATACTGGTAACACTGACTCCTAAGCATGGTTCAAGTGCAACAGTGCAGGTACAAGTGGAACATAAGGACAGTGTCTTCAACCCCTGCAAGAAGCTGTCCTGGAGAAGTGGATCCCTTATGCAGGACTGAGCTTTGATCCTGCCCTCAGTGGAAAGCACTGTAAATGCCTGACACCCTGGAGTGCTGTGAGCAGGAGTGTCACCCAGCCCAGACAAGCTGGATGGGAGAAGCCTCCTGCCCTGCTCACACAGGTGGCTGAGCATTTCTGGACATCAGGATCACTTCACTGTAAACAGCTGCCCTTGATTTGCAATTCCACAGTACCATTTTATAGAGTGAATAAGAGTTGGGGGATTATGAAAGCCAGTTGCTCAGATTATTTCAGTGAAGAAAACAGCTTTCTGCAGCACCATAACACTAAAGCTTTGGGACTTTAGGAGGCTCCACCATAGCTCAGAAGCTTTGATACAGAGGTGCTGTCTATCTGATGGACTTTGACAGGAGCCATGAAACTGTGGGAGGTATAATTTCTTTTCCACTCTGAGCAAAAGCCTTGAAATCTTGCTTCCAGCATAAGGCTGCCTAAACAGACTGATTCTGTCAGTCCTTTTTGTAAGAATGGAATTTCTACCAATGTCTTCTCATGTACATGACACTTATCCTTATTCTATACAGTCCCCTTAGGTGAAAATTAACATGGACTCACAAAAAAGGACCCAAAAAACACATGCTGCTACTTCACACACAGGCCAGACACAATGCACCTGCTACCATTTGCCTTTCTCCATCTGCTTTGGTATCTCCTTAGTGCACTACTCAAGTACCCCAAGCCTCTCTGAGGACAATGCTATTTCTGACTGTATCCACTTCAGGACAATGCCTGTGTTACTCTGCTTGGAACACTGTTGGGTTGTATAATTTCTTTTCCACTCTGAGCAACTCCAGAAAAAGCCTTGAAATCTTGCTTCCAGCATAAGGCTGCCTAAACAGACTGATTCTGTCAGTCCTTTTTGTAAGAATGGAATTTCTACCAGTCAATGTCTTCTCATGTACATGACACTTATCCTTATTCTATACAGTCCCCTTAGGTGAAAATTAACATGGACTCACAAAAAAGGACCCAAAAAACACATGCTGCTACTTCACACACAGGCCAGACACAATGCACCTGCTACCATTTGCCTTTCTCCATCTGCTTTGGTATCTCCTTAGTGCACTACTCAAGTACCCCAAGCCTCTCTGAGGACAATGCTATTTCTGACTGTATCCACTTCAGGACAATGCCTGTGTTACTCTGCTTGGAACACTGCACAAGGATTCACTGGTTGTGCTGAACTGTTCTGCTTATTAATTTGGTTCTCATTTGGTAAGACTAAAAATAACCTGGATTAAATGAAGGAAGATTGAAAAGTAAGAGTGCAGACCCCTGTTTCAAGCTATAATTCTCACTGTGAACATGAACTTTTTTGTTAGAGTGTGCCAGAGGATATAATTCTCCAGATAATTCCCTCAGTGTTTTATGGAACACATACGAAGTAAAGAAGGGTTTTTCTGTGCTATCATTTGTTCTTCTTTCCTATTTTTGTCCCAAGGAAAATATATTTTGTCTAGATACAATCTTAACTTTAATGCAAAAAACAGTCTAGTGGGTTTGATCACCCAAAAAGTCAACCACAAGGGAATCACTCAGTTTGAAAACAATAAGTATTCCCCCTAAAGACTTCTACCATATTCTATACAGTTTTGAAGTTAGTTAAAAGTCACCAAGCCAGTGCAGTTCAAATATTTCAGTGCTCGTAATGGCAACAGAAGCATCTGTGGTGGGGCTTTAAATACACTGGAAATCTGTTCTCAACTCTGATCTTAACTTGTAGTTGTAGTAATTTCATTCTATGACACAACCCCTCTTTGCTTCTGTGTTTCCTACTGCAATAAAAAGCCTGAAATATTAAACATACAGAAGAATTCAATTAGAATTTGTAAACCAGCAATAATATTATTATGCCTTCAATGTTCTAAATCCTTAAAGCTTAGTTTAAATAAGCATCATGTACCAGCTCCTTAAACAGCGTTAGCAATGTAAACAGTATTTAAAAATGCAAGAAGTTCAACTTTATAAAATTTACATCTGCAGGCTGTTAAAGGGGAATCTGGAAGAAATGTCAAACAATACTGTTCCTTGTGTACTCCACTGAAATAACAAGAAAGCTGCATCTGGAAACAGTTACTGGCACAGGACTTAAATAAATATTGCATTACCTTTAATGAACTAAATATTATTAATCAAGAGCCAGATATAACAGTGTGCCATCCAGCTGGCTTGTAATGCAATTAATTTACCTTCTTGGGAGATGACAATGGACTTCGATGATTTGATGGCTTTGCTGTCTAGAGTCCAGGTGACAGCTGCAGGGGGATCAGAGGAAATCCGACATTGTAAGACCAATTTTTCACCATCAGCTACTTGAGCATCCTGAAGCTTCTCTGTAAAGGAGGGTGCTGTTCCTTTGCTTGCTGGTGGTTTGCTTGCTGGTGCTTTGTTTTCAGCTTTTTTCCCAATTATTCCGCCATCCACCACTGCACACCCACGTTCACAGTTTCTGTCATTCTTCTCCTCTTTTTTCACTGCTGGTTTGGCAACGGGGGCTTGAGAATTGGGGGTCGCGTTCTGGGCTTCAGAGTTGGCACGAGCGTTTGGTGCAGGGGTGCCAGCACTGCCATTCTCCGCAGGTGGCTTTTTCTTGGAGCCCAGCACAGACCTGAAATCTGTAACTGCAGGTTTAGGAGGTGGTGCCTTCTCTGGCAATGGGGTTTTTGGGGTGCCCTTCTTGGCCAGCACAGAGCGGAAGTCCACCTGCTGGGGAGCATGGACTTTCCTCTCCTCCTCTGACAAGGTCTTGGGTTTGACCTGCCGCTGCAGGTTTGCTCGGAAGTCCATTTGCTCGGCTGGGATCTCTTTCAGTTCCTCCTCAGAAAAACTTTTGGTGCTGACTTTCTTGCCTAAAATATCACGGAAATCGAGTTGTTCAGCTTCCTGCTGCCTCAGGCTCTCCTCTGTGTGCTCCCGAGTTTCCACTCGCCTCTTCAGAACGCCTCGGACGTCCTCCTGCTCTTCCTCAGCTACTCTGGTTACACTGCTGTTCTTTTTGAAGCCACTTGTTCTACCAAATGTTAGTTTACCATGATCTCCACCATCTCTTTGCTCTCCAGAGCTGGCTGATTCCCTCCCACTATGATCCGAAAAAGAAAAGAAAGAGAGAGCCAGGAAAGGGGCTGGTTTAAAAATGTCAGGGAACAATCTCAGAGCAGGAACAAAATGTGTTTATAGAAGGGGAGGTTGATTAGAGGAGCATACTCCATTAGTTTATTGCATCAATGATGACTTCAGGAGCCATATAAGGGCACAAACAAAAAAGATCTTCTCTACTCTGGCTTGGTACAACGTGCTTAGCTTGTATGATGAAAACAATTTGTTAGGTCACATTTGGGGATTAGGTTGAACAGCAGCCAGCCTGGGTCTGTAAGGGCAGGGAATTAACGGAGCAAAAAATAGAACCCACCCATGCAAGTCCCTGGGAAAAATACTCACTCTCTGAGCATTTCTGCTGTGGAAGCTGAACTCTCCCGCAGCATCAGAGACACCTGGCAGCTGCATTCTCCAACTTGGTTCCTGAAATATTTAAGTGAAATCAGAAAAACAGGGGTTTCCTCCTCTGTAACTTGCCTGAGCTGTTACTGTGTGTTGCACTAAAGCAGCTCATACCCAGTGTGGCATTCCCCTTTTCTATGTCCATTATTGTGGGGATTGACTGAGTGGATTTGGTCCCCATATATTTGGAGCCAAGCTATCTCAAATAGCTTTTACTGATCTGTTGCTATCTGCACTGGGAACAACATACTCCCTGAACAAAAATCAAAGCAATTTACAGAATGAAGCAGCTGCAAACAAACCAGCTAAAGGAAAATAAATAAAAAAGCTGGAAAATCAAGACAGAGGAAAGGGCTATTTTACAAAGCTGAAAATCTTTCCAACTCTGCCTACTGTTTATTTATTCAAACCCAAGCTCTTAAGTTTTCTAATGTTGAGATATTAAAAACAGGGTCTCATTTCCTTCCCTCCCCTCTGGCCCAACCAATCAGCAAAACCCATCTACACGGATTGCTCCAGCCTGTACATGTTTATATTAAAAAACATAAAAGTGTCACCATATATGGTGCTGAGTACTTATTCTTCCTTTTGCAGAGGAATACCACGGATGCCTTCTGGAAAGGGCTCCCATTAAAGAATTCATTTAAAGTGCTCCCCGCTCCCCTGCAGCTCCCTCCCTCCCGCAGATATATATCATTCTTCCAGCCCCAAACAGCTCTTCTCTGCTTAACACAGGAGATGCCAAAAGCAAAATTTAACTCCCCCAGGGCAGCAGTTGTGTAACTATTGCCACCACTCCCCTGACTGCTATTAGAAAACCAGACTTGAACTGATTAAGGACTAGAAATACCTTTTATTAGTGAAAACACGTCTGTCCTTCCCAGTTTAGGTATAAGCTTGTAAATTAACTAGAAAATCCTGGATTATTTATCTTTTTTAAGCAAAAATAAGTTTTGCTACTGAAAACATTTCCTGGACATGAGCAAAACACATGTGTTGGGGGGGGAGGCAGGTTTTCCCAGCTGTGTTCTGCTTTGAACTTGCTAGATAAGAGCACCTTCAAGTCAGTCCACTTAGCCCTGAAGTTTAAAACATGGACTCAGGACTGTTAGCTTGCCATAAATAAATTGTCTGGCCTGTTTTTTATATAGAGCATGGAGAAACTTTCCTAGATATGGTACTGTTTGGGTGAAAAGACCCTTCTAATTTCACCCATTTTTAACATGCAGTGAAGGCAAGATAATTAACACAGATAATAGAATCACAAATTCAGCCAAAACTTTGTCTTTATAAGAGCAATTAGTACCATCACCTTTTCAGATAGATTTCCCTTGATTTCTATTGTTTCAGAAAAAGAAACAGTGGATCAGTCTAACATGAAAATGACAAAGAAATTGGTAGGTTTGATCAAAGTATCTGGATTGTAAAGGCCTTGCTGATAGAAACATATCTTAAGACCATTAAAAACAAGAAACCAGAGGAATGTTTTTAACACTTTGATATCCAGTGAGTCAGAATAGATACACTACAAACTGCTATTGAAAGCAATCCATGAGGACAGCACTGAAAGCCACAACCCTCGTTTCCTTCAATACAAAAAACTAGATAACATCTGAGTACCAAACAGAAACTGTCCAAGGGGCAGGAGAGGATCCAAGTCAATGCAGAGAGTATTGAACTCAGCCCTGCACTGGAGATCTGCCATTCTAACTTATTCATATGTGTGGCCTCCATTTGGAAGCAAGAGAAAAGAAAGAAGCTAAGAAAAATGGAAAGATAAATAAAAAGAATAGCCATCACTTCCTCCCAACAAACTGATTGGCATAAAATTATGGCAAGGTAGCAACATTGCTGAAAACCTGTTGTTCTCATATAATACATTTCAAACTGGCCCCTTTTGCTGCTGTTGGTACTCATGAGATTTTTCTCTGCTCGTCCAAAGTTTTTAAAGAAAGCAGACACACTCTGGAGCTGCTCATTCACCAGTGCTTGCAGGGCTTTAACAGGCTGCTGGTTTACCTGAAGAGCCTTCCTGTTCAGGACTTAAAACCAATCCAAAGCTGACAAAGGACAAGCCATGCATGCTGAAGTATAGACAATTTGCAGAGTACATTAAACTTTGAGGCAGCCCTGCTCAGTTTCTGTCATGACTGTTTGGCAAAAATATTTCTCCACAAAAATTGTGTCACCAGTGGGAGAGGTTGAAATAACAGAGACAGCACTGTCCCAGGAGAGGAATTCAGGGATACTGCATGTGGTCCTGACGACTGTGAAGAATGGTAGCATTTCTGCAGGACCCATTTCTGCAAGGCATCTTTCCCTCTGCAAATTCTTTGCATAGGCGAAGAAGCAAATAAGGCAGGCAAAGTAAATCCTTCTAAAGTAAGCTATTTTTCACAGGGTTTGGAAAATAAAGGAGGGGGTAAGAAAGTAGGAGAGCATTTTGTTCTTTCTATTTTTAAAACCTTGGGAAGCACTTACAAATTATGGCAACAGTGGGACATACAAGTACCTAGATGGAAAAATTATTCACAAGGTAGTTTTTTGATCTTGATTACGATTTCTGATTCAAGTGAATGGCTGAAAACCAGATACTGGATAGAAACCTTGAGTCTGTGTCTGTTCAAAAGTGTAGCCTTCCCAGGGTAAGGCCTGCTCCCAGTGAAATAAAAATGATGATTTTAGGAGCAGGGAGAACATACTCTTTTCTTCTGAATCCAGTGACAGAGTCTAAAAAGGTGAAGTCAAAAACACCGACCCAGCTTGGAGATCACAGGATGGAAAAAGAGAAACAAGCCAAGACAAATGAAGAAGGATTGAGTGATTTAGATACCAATTTCAATCAAGAATAATTTCAGAATCTTGGTAAATTTTTTTTACACTTATACAATTTCAGAATCTAGACAAGGCAAAGATACATAGGGGCAGTTAGAAAAAAGAGAGTCTTGCAAGTACATGGGTACATCTTCAAGTCTTTCACATCTCTTCTGTTTTGAATCTTTGCAATAACAACATTAGTTGTGCAGCTTGAGGTTCTCTGTGTTGGCATTTTGTCAACAAAACCCAGACAGATCTTAGTGGCTCTGTTATTGTGGAATAATGATAGACATGGATAAAACCTGTGCTTAGTAGCTTTGCTGTGAAGTAGTGCCTGGAAGTGTTGACTTTTGCAGGACTATTCTGCAGAATGCTCATGCACAGGACTTATCTTTAAAATGTCAAGGAATATTAATAAAAAAGCCCACCAAAAACAAATAAAACCCCAGCTGCAAAGCTTGAGGCAATTTTAAAAATAGCTCTGTGTCCTATTGTGGGATCAGTTTTCCCTGGAATGGCTTTTATGTTCAAAATATCTTGAAATACTAGTTTCTTGGCAGAACCTACTCAAATATTTTCACTGAACCTTAGATGAGACTTATTGTCTGCATGTCCCTAGGAAGCACTCCCAGGAGGAACAGGAAAAAAAGCAGTTGTAATTATACTGGGGGGACGTACTGAAATTTCCTACCAGCCTACCAAGTGTGAAATAAATATTGCAGAGTAAATGACATTTTTTCAAGAATGAACTGAAAAGGGGCGAAGAAGTTGATCCCTACTTATAGCTGGTGCTTCACTGCAGGTAACTGCAAATCCTCAGAAAGAGGTTGTGAAACTTTTCTGTGAGTTAAATGGAGAGATAGTCCAGACTCCATGAAGCTTTAGCCCCAAAGAAAGCAACTAATCTACTGGATCACTACTCTAGCTGTATAAAGCAGAACAGCTCTACTGGCTTCAAAGAGGATGCACTGATTTACCTCTCTTGAGCATTTTGCCAAAAGCTTTTTATACCTGAAGGAACAATATTTTTATTTGCATTTTACAGCACTAGGTGGGAGGATGGAACAAGAAAGAGTAATGGCTTTCTTCTCTAAAAATAGGCAATGTATTAATAGGAGAAAACATGGTTTGCAAACTGAATTTTACAGAAAGACAGAGCTGTATTTACTGTTTAGCCTAACGAAATGTAATCTTAGGAGTGCTTTTTACATAACCTGAATTGCAGAGTGTTCGAAGTTCCACTGTTTTATAAAATGAATGTTTTCCCCTGATTTATGCAGATTATCAAAATATCTAAATCAATACTAATCAACACTAATCAAACTTGTATGAAAGATGGAGTGTGGGAAGAACAACACTTAATGTCTAAGAAGACAAAGGATAAAAAAGCAGATAATTTGTTTAAGGAACTGTAGCATGATTTCTGAGGTGTCTCATGTTGATTGCATTGCTATAAAGGTTTTGCTCAAAAATCCCAGTCTCTGTCCAGTTCTCACAGTGAAAGAATACAGAAAAATCATATTGGGATAACAGGATACCAGTGCCCGTATCACTGGAAGGATGCAAAGAATAGGAGAGGAAATAGGTATCTTTGTTTTTCTGAGTAAGGAAAAGGATTTTTATTTTCAATTTTGAAGCATTTTGAAGGCTGTAAAATGTCCACATTTCAACAGATGAACTGCAGAAGTGGGTGAATCTGTTCTTTTAATATTTATGCAGCAGTATTCCCCGAAGCTTGAGACGTAACAGGTTCAATGGAACATTATGAAGTCAATTAAAATGAAAAATGCAAATGTAAAGGAATCATAGACCTGTGTAGGTTTAAAAAAAGGACCAGGAGGGGCTACATTGACTACTCTTCTAAAATCCAGACTTAGCAGTCTGCTAAACAGTAAAAGGCAAATCAAAGGGGTATTCTAAATAATGCTGAGGGATAGTAAGACAGAGAGCCAACCAGCAATCATGAATAGATCACACTGGATCACACTGGGCTCCGCATCAAGCAAAGCTCAGTATAACTAAAGGAGAAAGAACCAGCAAGAGTCAAACAGATATTCTGTTAAACCCACATTTTTAAGACCAAAGTTTTAATTTGTGAGCAGCCAACACAACAGAAGAATTGTGGAGGTATCAGGACAGAATTTAGAGCTTAAGAATAATGAAGAACAAAATGGGAAAATAATTAATACTAGTAGGAAACTGTGCCTGGACCAAATTAAGACAGTAGGAGAAGGAGTCACTCCCTAAGAGCAGCTATGCAACCTGCTTCTAAAATTAATATGTGAAAAGGAGCTGCACATTTTATTTGAAATGAAAATGATTATGTTTAAAAATAGCCTACTGTCAACTCGGTAAACTCTTTAGTGAATTGACTTATGTTTTCTCAGTTATTCCATATTTGTTAATGGAGTTTGTAGAAGTTTTTGAGAGAAAGACACAAAACACAGCTCTCTTCCTCTCAGGTGCTGTTAAAACAGTTTCTGACTATATAAACACTTCTTAATCAAGTATTCATGACAAATGCAACCAGTTCAACAGCTATTTAATCAAGACAATTTAGTGCTGAATATTACTGCAACTCTATTGCAAACTTGAAGTTACACAGCTGACTTTTGGCTCCTTGGATATGCCTGAGGCTGTTACCTCTCTGCTACTCATGGTACACAACCAGTGCCTAAAAACATATGACTTTCTGTTCTCTGAACATTCACTGGAATTTTACAGTGAGAGCAGGGTAAAATGAGGTATCAGCATTCCCTTTGCTCTAATTGCAGCACAGCATTACTCAATATGGATTACAAAAAGCCAGCATGTATGCAGTGATCTTTGTGGGATCCCCAGTTATTTCTGCAGTAAAAGGATTAGGGAATAGCTGCAACTAGCATGTAATCCGCTGTGTTGTTTTCTAGCTACAAATTTACTTTTTCTCCTTCCTCCCCAAAATTCCTCTCATCTACTAATTGTCTGAAATAATTTATTTTCTAAGTGTACATTCTAGAGTTATGATAATATCAGACTTCCACTTTGAAAAAAGGGCTCTAGTGATGAATTTGGCCTGAGCAATCACCAACTACACCTGATCAGTATGGTCAACTTCCTACATCAGCCCCAACAAAACTCTACACAAAGCTCTCTTGGCTCTCCTTTGTCCTCTTTCATTCTTCCACCCCTGAAGTTTTATTGAAATATGTCATTCTCTTTTCAGTTCAAGTGAAACCACCAGCACATCATAGGAGAAGATGCTTATGCCCAGGGCACACACACTGAGGTGTGGAAATGTACCAGCAGAAGGTAGGAGTTCTCACAGTTTCTGCTCTCTCCCGTCAAGGTTGGTGACCTGAATGAAATTGAACTGGCATTTCTAATCCTGCCAGAGATACTGAGTGTTAGAAACCCCTCTGATCCCCAAAGGAAAATAATGCAAGGATTTCTGTAGACAGGACCTGCTCAAATGAGCATTATGAATGTCCAGATGACCAGGGCCAATTGCAAAAGAGCCAGCTCTGAAATGAGCCAGTTCACAGCTTATTGCAGACTACAAAGGGCCTAAATCTACTGAAGAGCTGATTTGCAAGGAGAACTTGAAGAGCTGGATTTGCAACAAGGTCATAGCACATGTGGCTCTACCTACATAAATGTTATTAATAGGACTTGAAATTAATTATAGAAAAACATTATAGGAAATCTTGATATTCAACAGCTATAATTTTCTAAAATGTCCTTTTCTGGTGAAAAGTCAGTGCATCATTTGACTTTAAGTACTAAAATATACTGAAGCTAGTTTGTGTCTGCCTGTGATAGTCCATGAAAACATACCTTCGAGCTAGAAGACATCTACATAGTGACATATCCATCATTTGGGCCACACTGGTTGGAAAAAATCCCCTATAACTATAAAAAATTAAACTCATTGTTTACAAGCTAAATAGCTTGGATTTATTAAAAAATTTCCTCCTTTCTTGCATTAAGAAGATATGAGTACTTTATTTTCAAGTAGGCAAAGGACAATTCAGACTCGTACACCTGGAATAAAAAGTGAGTGTATGGAGCAAACCAAATAATATTCTTCCAGTGTAATAGACTCAAATGTCCATGATGATGAAGTAATTTTAATAAAGAAAGGCAGAAACACTAGCCAAGTAAAGCAACTACATCCATGCACAGTAAATAGCATAGAATGATTTCCATTGAAGGTGGAAAGTGCTGTGGCACTTTCTACAAGGTAAGGAGCAGCAAATCTAACTCTTCATTTAAAGCACAATTATTCTACCAGAATAAAATAAAATTAAATTCAAAACAACTCTTCCACATTTTGTAGGAATGACAAGATGTCCAAAGCATCAAGGTGCCTCATTTCAAAGAGACGTCAGCAAAAGGAGACTACAAAAATTTTGCTTACAAGATTCAGACGTTTCAAACATGGCCAGGAAACACTTTTTCCCCTTAAAGGTATGGATCTTGTGTAAGAGAGACAGTTCCTCCCTAGACAGTTTGTTCCCATGAAAAGAGGCATCCTTACAAATACCTAGAGAGATGCCAAACATGACAAAAAATAGCTCCAAAACTCAGAACATTGATTGTCGTTTTCCTTGCTAGAAACTTCTTGCCACATTGCTGCCACAAAGCTTCATTTTACAGCATTACAAAAAGAAGCCACACTACTTTGTCCTTTTTTTTTTCTGAATCTTCTTGTGTTTCCTCTCTTCTCTTGGAGTTTTATTAGGTTTTTTTTTATCCCTCAGAAATATTCTGTTCCTTTTGTACTCTAATGTTCCACTTGAATAGGATGGAACTCCTGTCTTTGAGTGGGAATTGTAAGTTGAGGGTAAATATACTTGGTCTTTTTTTCTAATATAACTAATTGGTTCTTTGTCACAGCCAACATACCTGAGCTGAATTTCATACTGCCCTGCATGACGAGACTGCACATTCCTCAAGACCAGTGTGAAGATGTCTTCATTTTGCAGGATTTCACACGCTGCTCCCGGCATTATTTCCTTTCCATCTTTAAACCAGTGAACAGTGGGGAAAGGATCTCCAGCAATGGCACAGGATATCAGGACATTTTGCCCAGGAGCTGCTGTCACTGATCTTGGTTTGCTAATGAACCAGGGCTGAATACCATCCTGAGGCTCTGTAGTTTACAAACACAGTTTACAAATCAGAAGAAAATGCCAAGCTTGAATGTCACCACTAAGCTAACTAATTTCAGGGAAGGCAATCACAGGCAAGGAAAGTTATTTTGAACATGCATGGTATAAGTTTTTAATCTGAAAAGAAGTCAGACTTTAATTTTGGAAGTAACTTGTGTTCATACTAAAATTAATCATTTACTTGGCACTTTACTGGCTCGGTCCAAGCTTATATTAAGAGCAAAACAAAGGGACTTTAAAGCTGCCCTAAAAGGAATCTTGGAGATTTGTCCTTAGAGAATAGGGGTAGGAATAGCTTTAAGGGCAAGTAACAGTACTATGACTGCTGTGCAGTTGAGAGCTCATGCAATAAATCATCATTAACAATTGCATAAAATTACATTTAATATAGAAGTCTGACCCCAAGGCCGGATCTCTGGGGGGATTGGTGGAGAGAGGAAGGTCTGAATTCAGAGCAGACAGTGGCAACAGACTAAACAGCTCTCTCAAACACTGCAGATAAGACATTCTACATTTAAAATAATAAAAGTCTCACAGTGACTTCCACTAATTCTCAGTAGTGGCTATGAGGAAATGCCAATACTCAGTAATACTAGAAGAAGTCTCTGTCACAAAGGTAGTGTGTGCCCAGTCACAGGAAGTTTGCAGGTACTTGAGTGTTTGCTGTGGGGTTAACAGCATGTGGGAAGATTCAAAGCCAAATTTTTTGCAGCTAGTTCTCAGATTGCAGAAATCACGTCTTCCTCACCTGCTACCACTACAATGCTAACATTAAAGCCAGGACACCTAGCTCCTAGAAAGCTTTTTCAAAAACTAAGGACTTCAATTAGAAACAAAAACATTAAAAGGTTTACTTTTAAGCCTGATAGTTATAATGTAAAGCTGCATTTTGCAGAAGTCTTGCACTGTCCCTAGAAATAGGACTCAGGAATGCATTTTTGAAATAGTAACAGAATGTTCCAGAGTGAAAGATTTTTTTTAAGCTGCTTCTGCTCAATATCCTTTTTAATTCAGATTCAGAGACTGAGAACTTGAGCGTGCTTCACAACAAACCTTATAAACACTCATGCATTTAAATAGATATTCCTCCAGCACATTAGAATAATAATTTTCTTTCACCATTTTATAAGGTGAAGAGGAACATTATACCTTGAACAGTCAATGTAGCCTGTGTTTGACTTTCTCCTACTTCATTCCAAGCTTCACAGGTGTATTTGCCTGTGTCTTCAGGAAACACCTCCTGGATGTACAGACTGTACTCATTGCCTTTCTTCTCAAAGTGGAAGTCTTCTGTCTCCTGGATTTCTTTCCCATTATGCAGCCAGATAATTTCAGGAGATGGGTTAGCTAAAAATAAGCAAGCAACAAAAGTCTGAGACACACACAAAACCCCACCATATGTCAATTCAAAAAAGGAACAAATTTGGGTTTTTTGCCACCTGATTCTGCAATTTCATCTTCAAAACATTCAGGAATTTCTATTATTAACTCTGTCAATGCTGTGTAATGTGAAATGGTCTGTATTATTATGATTAAAATACGAATGAATAAGGGAAGCATGTATACAATACAAGAGGGACAATGAGTTCTAGACACCACAAAGATGGTTATTAGGAGTTTCTGATACCAAAGTTCATACCAGGACTGCTCTTTCTGTAGCACTAAAAATGAATAAGGGAAGCAGGTATACAACATGAGAGGGAGAATGAGTTCCAGACACCACAAAGATGGTTATTAGGAGGTTATTCTGATACCAAAGTTCATACCAGGACTGCTCTTTCTGTAGCACTAATCTTACCCCAGCTGACAGGAACTCAATCTTTTTTGGTTTACATCAAAAACTATTACAAGTCCACTTGAACAAAAGGACCCATATTAAACTTATATCATTATATCATTCCAATCAAGAAACACTTCTACAGGTCTGAACCTGTTAAAAATGGACAATGTTCAGCCACGTTGAAGATCACATTTGACCGACCTAGCTTTTAGAAAACTGGTTCCTAGAAATATTATTTCCAAATGCAAAGACACCTACTAAAAATGTGGGGAAAACCCCACACAGTGCAGCAAGATTTAGAATTTTTAAGTAATACTTTTCTATATCTACACACCTGATACCTCCACAGTCATTATCACTTGACTTCCATCCATTACTTTGAGGTCAGTCAGGCCCTGAAGGAAGATGGGTGCAAAAGTCTTGTTTGACTTTGCAGCCTGTGCACTCTCTGCCTTCTTGCTGCTCTTCTTTTCTGTGAAGTCAAAAAAAAGAACAAAAGGGGTCTCTTACTGGGATTTTCATGACAAACTTTAATTGACCTTAGGCTCAACATCATTTTGAGACAGTGGTTTTGTTTCAGCTCTCAGAAGGCAAAAATAACTCAAATCACCTAATATAGCTGTTTTGCCTTGCCAGTATTCCACGCAGAAAGACAAGACATAGGAATGGAACTGTCCTCATTCTGAGAATCCATTTAAGTCATTGTTAACAGAGAGTTTCACTGAGAAATCACACTCATTTTTCAACCAGTACACATGCTCGGGTGAAAAAAAAAAAAAAAAAGCAAAGCAACCCAAAAACTTGCAACTAAAAATTCAGTGTCTGTAATCACTGCTAAATTAATCTGAAAACCCTAGGGGATGTTACAAGTTGCCATTGCTGTGATTGATGAGTTAAAAATGTGAGCTCATTGCAGCATGGGATTTGTAACTCTGTAAGTAATTACAAACCGTTTAGATTGTTAGATGGTCAATATCCAATAGGTTTGAGTTTACCACACTGCTCTCCTGTACTTGACTTTGGCAATTGACTGATGATGTGAAAGACTGAAACCTTTCAATATCTATCACAAAATCCACTGTTGGATCAGGGCTTTTAAAATTTTTCTTTCAAGGCTGTAAAATCAAGTACTGAGGGAATTTAGAATTAAATAATCCACTCTTAAGTCTTTCTGTGATATGTTGTTTCCAGTAGCCACAGCCATTCAGAGACTTTGAAACAAGATCATTTAACTGTGATCTATATGGTACAGTAGATCAGGAAGTCTAATCCTGCTCTAAAAACCTGAGCAAAGACACTTCTGAAGCCCAAACAGTGATCATGACCAAATATAAAAAGTCATAAATATTTACCAGTCCCTTGGATACATTTTTTGTTTGGCTTAGCTTGTGTTCAGACTTCTTATGTCTTGCCTTTAAAATTCCAACCCTACATTCTATCCACATGTGAAAATATTTTTATTTTGCTTATCCCTACCGTCAAAATTTTCAAAGGAATATCAAGCACATCCAAAATAGTATTACAGCGACAGAAAGTGCCAGGCTGGAGAAAAACCACAATTCATAAAATTTGTGATTAGGTAAAAAAGACAGCAACTCACTGAGGAAGCCCACTGAACCTTCTGGAGGTAAAAAAGTTAAGTTTGTACAGGGGTAATTTGAGCTCAACATAAATTTGGAAGCAGCCTGGAGGGAAAGTTTTTCCTCTTCTCTAGCAAAGTTTTTTCTAGCCAAAATCTTGTCTCACTGGCTCATGCTGCAGGCCTTTTCTTGGCACTGAGCAGGGAGACATTGATGCATGTGAGAATGGAAATACGGGACCTGAGTGAGACCCATTTGGATTGGTGCTATGGAAGCACAACTCTGAAGTGCCTGATTCACCATCAGACCACACTGATCAGCCTTAGGGCTTCCCAAACACCTGCCTGAAGTGACTAATGCTGTAAGTAAACAGCCAAGAAGTTGGGGGAAACTCATCTAGAGAAATAAACTCCTGTGGCTCACCATAGCCCTCTCTTTTGTAATGGTTACTCAGAGAAGCTGCTGTACTAAGCAGTATCAGCACAGGCACATTCACTGCTCTAATGCCTTGCAGGAAATCCCTTTGTTCCTCGAAGTAAAACTTTGTCTCACAAAATGTGGGGGAAAGTTTCTAAGTTTCTAGACTTGGAAAAAATTGAAGTTATTTACTGACAACTTTAGTTTCTCACAGATGTTTTACACAAGACAACACAGTCCATTTAAATTCTGTTATTTAGTCTAAAATCATTGCACTTTCTCAGAAGGGCCTGGTACAATCATGCAGAGGCCAAATTACAAAGCCTGAATGTTAACTATTTTCAAATTCTTCCGAAGCTTGTAAATGCTTTTAGTTGTTTATTTATGATAGCACTATGCAGTGACTCAGTGTTTGTCCAATGAATGCTTGAACATTTCACAATTTTACAATGAAATAGCAGTACTCTACACATAATATACCTAAGGGCTCCTTCAATTTTAGCTTTACAGGTCTTCTTTAGTAAAACAGCAATAAAATTGATTTTGGAGTGAAAAGATGGGATGCTGATCATTTGAGATTAAGCAAATAACTCCTATTGCTATTTATGTTGAAAAGATACTGTGTGATTTTGCTTCCTTTTGAAAACACCTGTCTTTATTTTGATACTAAAATATTTAAAGGAATGGCATACATGAAAAACTGGAAACTGCAAAAGAGTGGCTTCAAGTACAACAACCACAGAAGTACACATTCCCTGGCCACTGCTGGATGCTTGCTAGTTTCATACATCAGGAACAAAATCCATGACCTGTACCAGGAAAACAGTAGGGAATCAGAAATGAAAACAGGACACAAATAAGAAAACTGCACAGATCCTGGCCAAGATTAGTGCTTGCTTTCCCTCATTCCTCCAAAGTCCCTTTGACCACATAAACTCTGCTGGGCTTCCAAAATCCTTATGTTCTCATGGAGTGCTGGCTTCAGAGCCCAAAGCAGGAGGACAGGAGGAAAGGAAGAAGGCAGAGGCAAAGCTCCCAGCTGAGATACTGCAAGTCACTGTGCTTCTGGCTGGAACACCCTCTCTTGTAACACTGCAGGGTCCTTCTGCTGCCAAAACGACGGACAATAAAAATACGGCACATCTGGCATCAGAAAGGAAATCTGGAACCTAAGGAAAATTTTGTTTGACATTAGCATAAAGGCATGACTTCATTATGTATCTATGCATCCTCAAGCTTATTCAACTGGATGTGAAGAAAGATATCTGATCTCTGTCTATTATGTTAACGCTCTCTAATCACCTACAGCCATTTAATAGCTCCCTCATCACTCTTAAGTCTTACTGCTCTCACGTAGGAGTAGGTTCATCTCCAAGAATGACAACAAAGAATGTAAGAGTCAACATACCGTTACTAAAACTTTCTCTGTCAGTTAATTTTCTCTGTCTCTTTCCCCTCCTCAATCAGCTTCTGCTGGTGCACTCAATTCCCTCCCCTCACCCCATCATGCCAAGGCAGTTCATGGGGGACATCAGAGAGCCCTACCTACTGCTCCTGCAGATGGGCTTGATAAAGCACAGGTACATTTCAATGACTTCTTTTCAGACCTCGTGTCTAGTTTACTTTATGGTAGCTTACAAAAGCTGCCACCATTTTATAACCACAGTTGGTTGCATGCAGGTCAAATAGTGTAGGATAATATGGAGGAGAGCTATGATTTTCTGAAAGGCATCTCACAGAGAACAATTTTTGCACAGAGCCTGGCACAATATGTAAGCCCAGCTGGAGCCTTTCTAGTGGACAGTGATCTCTCTGTCATTTCAACAGGGTTTTAATAAGGTGTTACCCAGGGTTTTAGATTTAAAAGCCCATCACAATGACCCCACTTATAAATTTCCTGGTTTTTGCCTTTCCTCAGGCTTTAATATGCATGAATGTTGGGAAACAGCAAGTAATAGGATGCACAACTCAGTGGGAAAAACTGCTTGGAGACCAGAAATAGTAAGCAAAGCATGTAAATGGTACTTTTTATACCCACATATATTTTCAACAAAGCAAAAGGAATATAGGCTTTTCCCACCACATTCCCTTACCCCTGAGGGTTCATTTTTTCGTTGGAAAGGCACTCTAATAAGCACTCAAATCTATGTTTAAAAAAGCCACTTACTGCATTAAATCCATAGAGATTAAGGAGAATTTAAATTCGTTCGGTTTCTTAGGAAAAATACAAATTCTCAGCATATTTGGATGGCAATGGGAAAAGATAGATTCCCTTTGATGCAAAACTATTTCTACTAATGTGTTAGTCTGTGCTCCATGATTTGTGTAATCAATAGTAAGATGATCTACAGTGACTATATACAAATATGGATTATTTATTAACCTGTATTAATTGAAATTTAGGGTGATACAAATGCTCTCCTTTTATATGAATTTTCTCAATCCAGGTTTTAAAGACTCCTTACATAAATTTAACCTCTGCATATCTGCAGACTGGAAGTTATTGCAAGAGGAGTCTCAATGTTAGCTGTGGGTCTAAACCAAAATAAACTTGAATTTTGTAAAGCCTTGACCTGGATCAGGACTTAGGACTTCAGCATAATTGCAAACATATTTATATTGATAAGCAATGGTGAATTATTGAGCTGAAGGTGCATACCTAATAGAAAGGGGGAAAATTCATACTGTACTGAACGATTAACCTAATACAAGTCAATTGCACAAATTGCACAAATACACCTGTACCACTTTAATGGCAATTATGCAACCAACTATTTATATTCTAAGGTAAAAGACACAGATAAAACTATACCCTTGAAGAGAAGGAAAAAATAATCAATAATTGCACTGTCCCATTCCCAGATTTGCTGCTGAACTGAAGAATACCCATATGAGGATGCAAACTTTAAGAAGGTTTCCAAAGACCAGACCTGGATTTTACCTGGGCTGTAATCAAACCAGTTAACATTTTATGGACATTATCTAGCCGAGGAAATTTTCTTGTTCATTTGCCTACCCTGATGTACTGAAGGCATTTTCATGTGAGCTGCAGAATGCTGACATCTCCTGTTGAAATATCAGGACTTCAGCATGCTGAGCACTGCACAGAATCACACAATAATTGAGTTTAGAAGGAACTTCTGGAGACTGGCCTTTCCAGCCCCCAGCTCAGGCTGGGTCAGCTTCAGCACGGCATTTACACACAGCTCCAGTGCAGCACCTCAGTGGCCAAGGCCAGGGTTACAACTGGTCACAAGTCAAAGGACACGCACAGAATAGAGAGTTTGCTGCCTAATGTTCAGAACAGTGCAAAACCTCGCAGTGTTTAGTCTTACAAGAGGTTTAATTATACTGGAGGAATCTGTTTGCCAGCACTGTGAGGTTGACTGCCAGCTAATGCCTGCTCCGAGCCGCACGGAACGGCTGCCTCGGCAACATTTACCATTTATGGTGTTTAAATATCATTGTGGCTCAC